TTTATACTCACTCAATATTACAACTAAAAAAATAATCTATTTCTGCGTGACTTTGTTCTGACGACCACAAAATATAATCGACCAGCATTTCTTATTTCGGTTGGTTGACGTCATTCAGCCGACCAATCAGCGCGTTGTGCCATCTAGATATTTAGTCGCACGTCTTACATCACTTCTTCATGACCATTTTGAGTCTGGCAACATCAGGACCACTTGCCAGAAGTGTCCTGTGGCCAATCCGCCCGTTTGTCCGTATACCAACATTACTGCTACATTCATTATTTTGTTACACCTCCATTTTAGATTTCTTCAATGTAATGAATTAATTTAATTAATACCCTTTTGCGAGAGCTTTCAAAATGTAATACTGTATATATTCTTCTTTGAGAATACGGTATATTACGTAAACAAATAGAAAACTAATTTGCATACTAGCGCATACTTTTAAATACTGCATAGTATGTTTGATTTCTTAAAAAAGGAATTCTGATTTTATATACAAAAAATATTTTAAAATGTTATCGAAACAAATTAATCTTAATTAATTAATTAAATCTTTGATAAGAAAATTAATGATTTCGTTCCGTCACCCATTCAAACTTGTCTACATACAGTCAAATCTCGGGTTTCGAACTTAATTCCTTCCTAAAAGTTGTTCGAAAACCGAAACAAATTTTCCCATAAAAAACAATATAAAATGAATTACTTAATTTTGATTTTATTTTTAATTTTAGTTTCAATTCCATTGTAAATACAAGAGTTTTAATTATTATTTTATTATTTTTAGTTTTAATTAACTGGCTACTTAGTATTAATAAATATTACATTAAATATATAATGTTATGAAGTTATACAATGATATTATATAAAAATTTTTAAAACATTTTTATATAATATTATATTAGTAATTTAGCGCCTTTAAACACGATTCGTGGATGTCAATTAACGCAGTTTTTATTAATTTGATTTAAATTCAATTGCGACGCGTACCGGAAAACGGAAGTACAGTAGTATCTTACCCGCATGCGCATCGAAATCTAAATTGAATAACAACGTCATCGATGATTCGTGGTGACGTCCAATGACGCCAGACGATCTCGGCGCCACTAACTTCTGAATCGGTAGTCCTGTCGTTGATTGGTTGGGCCATCGACTTTCTTGAACATAGGAAATATAAGGATTTGTCCATCTGTGGATGGATCTTGCCGGGCAAATATGGCATCGGAAATTTTGTTCGTAAATCGAATTGTTCGAAACCCGAGGCTTGACTGTAGTTTCTTGAAGATGCGACGGATGCGCGAGAATGGAAAGCGACACGCGGATAACCCGCAAGTACCAAAAATTTTAGTTGAACTAATAATACGAATATAAACACAATCAATATTTATTTAACAATTTAAAAATCTGTGCGAAAGGAGAGTAACACATAAAAGGTTTTCAGAAAGGCACGGGAAATTCTTTTTTTATCGTATTTGACATTTGTTTCAATACGGATACAAATATTGCGAGATTTTTTGAAGTAACAAAAGTTTTTAGATTATCTTCTCAGAAACAGATTTAATCTAAACAACGAGTTTGTCCTTCGTATTGTATTGTCGGCTCCTCCGAATGCAGGATTCTACACGCTTTATTTTATCGACACCAAGCTTATTAAAAATGAAATTGCAAATTTCATTTCTGGAATAAATTTTTTGTAAGAATGATGTTTTCTTTTTGAGACTGACTTCGTTACACTGTAACCAATCAGATTTAGATAATTTTAAGCTATTGTAAGTTCAATTTTGTATTGTTTCGGCAGCTCTCGGTAAAAGTGACTAACATGGATGAGAGTAGAAGTTCCTGTGAAAAACTGAAAGTTAATGTTGAAATTCTTGATAGTCTTTCGTGAGAGTTCTTTGAACACGATGAAAATTTACGTTTAAGAAGTTTTAATTTTAAAATATCGAAATTTAAACCAAAGGGATTGTGGGCGAAAGTCAAAAATGACACGAAAAATTTTTGAATACTGTTAAATAACATAAAACAGCGATCTTGTAGTATACGTGTCTTAATTATATGAGAGATTTTAGACGGTTTCCTAATTTCCTTAAGCTAGAGAAGCTTTTTCCGAAAAATTTTTTGTAACTCATAATTTAATTAGTTAATTTATAAATATTAGAGTATGTAGTAAAACGCATAAATCTAGAAACACAATGTAAACTTTTGTAACAAGAATCTTATTATAACAACTTTATTCCTAGGGTTTTTCGATCAGTCCGAATTCGATTCCGGGTCCCTCAAAGCTGTAGGATTACGTCTACGGTAGAACTTTTTTTAAAATCAAAATTTAATATTATTTATGTAACAATTTTATTTTCGAAATCCTTAGTGTCTTTAGCATACTGGAAAACTCGGAGTGTGGTAAAGCCATACTTGAGTTATAGCTTGCGTAGTCTGTATTTTGATCGATATTTCTGCGTAATATATAATTGAATAATCAACTGTAAATATTTGATTAACCAATTATATATTAAATCTATATTTTAAAAAGCTGATAAAAGTGTAGATTTATTTATATTTTACTATTCTGAAAATTTTGAAATATTTGTTTTTTCGTCACCATCCGTTTTAGTTGCAGCATATGAGAAGCAAACTATTTATAATTTGTGGAACTGTTCAAGTATAATAAGTGCAAGGTCTACTTCAAATGAGAATCGAAAGCTAATATTCCTAATGAATACATGACACGCTTCTGTGCAATTATTTTGGCTAAAAGATATCGAATTAAATGTTCAAATTAACATACATCATCAATAAACTACATACTATCATTAAAATAACGAGCAATTATTTATTGTGACATCGTCACAATGCCGGGCTGCAATTTTTAATTAATTTAATTTAAAATATATGCTCTCCACTTCAAATTAGTAGTGACTTCTCTTCATGCATTGTACTTTCCCTTTAACAATAGAGTCGTGCCGATCATCTAACACCTTTTGGGAAAAATTTTTGAATTGAAATAACGTGACTTCCTTAAGGAAAGACAGACGGACGGACAGGAGGATGACAGTGGGAATTTGTCTACAATTTTTTCAAATTGCAGCCCAATCAACTTGCGTTAACTAATCGAGGTGCGATAATACAAAAATTTTAAAGTCGAACCATTCTGTTACCATTTTCGATTATGTTTCTAAATCTTTCCTACACTTGTAATCTAAACATTTTCCCCTTTTTTTAATTCAAAATTTTAAAAGTTCTCATTCTCAAATTCTTTCGATGACGAATGCAATTGCTTAAGATCTTTCCGGCAGACAGACACCTATCATTTTTTTTTCCACGTAATCAATATCTTCCATTTTAAAATTAGTCTCGAGGTGAGATTACTATTGTGCAGGAAAACATAGTCGATTAATGAAATTTTTCAAGTAAACAGTGAATTTTCAAGTTCACCGTCAATCCGCTCGTTATTCATTCGTAAGTTTAGTGTAACGAATACAATTGTATTTACAGAAAAAAAAATTCCGATAAATAAAAACGTGTATGTTACATTTTAAAACGGAGATGAGCAAAGAAATTTAGACGAGAACGGGATACTTTTGATAAGGAACACCCACTTCGGGTTTTTTTTTTCGTAATTTTGACTCCATTTCGGCAATTAATAACTAATCTGAGACGATTTCGATGCCAAGTACAATAGTATAAAAGTTACTTTATTGACGAAAGCCTTTCTATTCAAGATCAATAGAATACTTTCTTTCCATCAAAAAAATTGAGTTGGTCTCTAGAGAAATGTCATTTTTTAAGCTCATCCTCTTTGACATAAAAATAATAAATTTCTGTATGTATAATTTTTTTTAAACTAGTAAAAAGTTTTCGTAAAACTTAAATTGTTTAGAATTTTCCTCAAAAATACCGGATGTAAATTTCGGTATAGCCTACACACCGCTGAAAAATATTTAACTTACTATTATTAGGTGGTCGTGTGGGAATAACATATTGCATTTAGTTATCCAGAGCACGCAATAATATACTTATCTCGAAATCTTCTGCAAACGAACGATAAAACCAAAATATATCACAAATAATCCAAAAATATCACCGCCAGACCTCAACAAAGTAATGACTATTACATTAGAGGAATATTTTAATTATTCAAATTTTAATTTAACGAATTAACGACGTGAATTTTTCGAAATTAAACCAATAACACTAGGAAACGGGCGTCTCCCCAAAACGCATTTTTAAATTTATTACCTTCGTTAATAGATGCTTCGAACTCGGTCACGTGTCTCTACAATAACGATCCTTAATCCTGGCACGTCCTTACACCCGACAATTAGAATAAGTTACGTTTTTGTATCCATAATTATGCGCAGATTTTCAAATAAACAAATCACTGTTAAGCTTCTTATCGAAATAATTTTAAATCACAACTTCTGATATAAATTCGAAGGTCAATCCGACAACTACAGCACTAAATGTGTACGAATATCAAACTTTTACGTATATTTGATTGATAATAAATAGGATTCTGTACGTTTGTGTTGGAGATTGTTGAAAAATTAAGGAAATATAAGTGAATTTTGCTGTATAAAATTACCTTATATGGTGGAGGGAAAAGTACTTTTACTACTACTAAAAAGTTGGGAGGGAATGGTGTAAAGGTGACTTCGGCTGATTCGATTAATAATATAAAAATAGTACACGTACCATGGAATCACTGGAAGACTTAGTCCTCATATTTGTTTCCAACGCTCTCAACTCCACGACGTTACGAAAAGGATGAGTGGACGTTTCGGATATCATAGGAAAATATCGAAGGAAAGGCAGACTCTGCCATTCGCCATTTCTTTACAAAAGAGATAGTTTTATCGTACTTATCGACTGATTTCGGATCGGTTTGTCTCGTTTTAGTTTCGAGATAAACGTTTTTGTTATCGTTTCTCCTCCAGTTTTTCTTATAAAACGACCGATCGCCGTGGCGAAGTATTCGGACGAATCGGTTAAACGCCGAGTGGTAAATAAAACAATATTTTTTTATTTATTGAATTTAAAAAGAATAATTTCGATAAAATTCTGTACAATACAACAAGATCTGCGCCAAACGTGTCAAACAATGTGGACTTTCGGGAGATGCCATCTGTCGGGAGAGAGAGAAACTAACGGCACACCTTTGTCTCGGGGATGTTGCTCTTCTATCCGAAACGTCATATCCTGTATGAATTGGGTTTAATGCGAGATGCCTTCAACGATAGAACCGAACAGAAGAGTAGGAAGGCGATTCCCGTCGACATCAAGTAAATCGACCAATTAACTTCGCACGTACCTGAAAATACATTTGGAAATTTAAAATTATGGAAATGTCCATCGATCCGCCTTATCTATGTAATTACCTAATCGATAAGCATCGGATTGATTTCCGCAGGCATCTTTGACTTCGGGACTGCTCCATCCGTTCGGATAAATGCTGCAACCGACTCCCATCAACAAAGCTACAAAAAAAAGTTAAATATTCCAGTTATTCTCTTCTATTTTTAAATCGACATTCTCTAAATCCCAGATAAAAATCTGAAAGATAAGAGAAATCGGAAATATCGTTACGCATTCCCAACCGTTTTAACTCGCCCGTACTTCTTAAAATATAGCTCAGTTAATTGACTTTTGGACCATTCTGTTGGTGTTTTGGGTCTATTAAATACTAAACACAATAGCTGTGGCAGAATTTAATTAACCTTCCATTTTGATAGGCCTAGGCGTAGATTTTTCTACTCTCTTATCATCAAATGATAGAGATAAAATATTAAAAGTTATTATTATTATTTTTTATTTGCTATAAAATTTCATTAAAATAATATTCATTTAATATTCTTGAATAGTTTATCAAAATATATTTTGAACAATTCCATTGATGAGATCTTTTTTATAGTAGAGTCTTTTACAAGCGACCTGTATACATTTTTACAACTGTTTCAAACTTGAAAANCTTTCATTTAATTAAACTTTAATAAAATAACAATATTTGTAAATATTTTTATTTAAATCACTTCAAATTTACAACGTATGGAATTGATTATAATCCTTTTCCAATTGGCCGAGTTGTTGGGGGCAGCCCAGCTCTGGAGGACCCGGGATCGAATCCGGATGGATCAAAAAACCCCAGGAATTTTTTGGGTGGTCGGGCACCGACCCTCAATACCCGGCCGTTCCATTATGGGCATGGAAAAACCATAATGGGGTTTCTAAAAAACCCCTCTTAGTGCCCACAGGGAGGAGAAGTAAGGAAATAATAATATGCACTTTTCCAATAGTTAAATCGATTTTTCCCAAAATTATGGAATTTAACTTATTTGGAACCATAGGAGAATTTCTTAAATTAATCCAGGTTTTACTTATTTTAAAAATATAACAATTTCGTGACATTTAACTTTCCGAATAACCGATTAAGGCAATGGCGAGTACGAATACGACTTTAGAAAATCTAAATATCTTTTCCGGCTATAAACATTTCATTAATGAATTATATCAATTGTTTCCGGCTAAAATTAACCGTTCGGTTTTCTTCGAATTTCTCAGGTGGTTACGTTAATAACCATTAATTTAGAAGAGGTGATGGTGAGCAAAGCAAAACCGTTAAATGGTCTCTCCGGCTTAAAATCTGCCAGAGATTTTTTATTATTATTTCTTTTTTGTAAATGTTTACGTAACAGGCGAATGTTTGCAGTTTATTAATGCTCTATCCTTAGGCGCCGAGAGGGTAATTTAAGCGTTGACGTTAGTTCCTATCTCGATAGGAAGAATGTCTCCGGTTATCTTTCTATCTAATTAACATTTAGGAATGTTAACTTCGACGATTTCCTCGGTCATTAGATAAGTAAGAAGTAAAATAAAATGCCATTTTTTTTAACAATAAAATGCGCAAAATCTCGGGACATATCTGAAATCTACTCTCGAGGATTTTACATTCTACTATTGAAACGAAGCTAATATTTAATCATTTTTAATAGCCATTACAATAATTCATCCTCTATAACTATAATTAAAGGATTATAAATCTAATTATTATATTAAGAAATTTATAATTCCGTAATTAATTAAGAACTTTCCAATTTTATTTTATTTATTCAAGAAAAATTGCGAAGTCCGATGAAAGTTTTGCATGTTTGTCATTTTAACATGTTTATATTGTACTGTATATGAATTAAATGATGTTTACGAAAATATGACGGGAAAATTTCACCTCTTTTGTAATGAAAATGTATACACTAATTTATGAATTTTCATTATTATATAAATTAATTTTTGTCTATTTTGTATTACATTACTCTTCAGTCCATTTAAATTCTAATGAAAAGCCATAATTTCACACGCGACTTACAACTGTTTAATTATAATTATAATTAAAGCTAAACAAGTATACATGAACGGAAATTATATTGACAGTTTTAAGGATGAATGACTGATAGATCTACAAGCGTTTCCTGTATTAAAAACTAATTTCTACGATCATTAAAGACGAGACAAAAATTACAAAAATCATTTGGAAAGAAATAATTACAAGATTCGATTCGAAATGTCGTTTGGTAATGGGCGACATTTGTTAAGATCTGGCGTAATTCGAAAGAGCAGCCTGCACTAACACTAGATCAAAGGATGCTCTGGATTGTATCGCGCGATAATGGGCATGTCACAAAGAGAAACAGAACACTTAGGAAAAGGATAAATGTAATTAGTTCGCCATCTATTAGCATTTATTATAGCTTTAATTCGATACATTAGAAAGTTAGCAACAATATCTTTTTCGGTAACGATCGGACTCCGAACTAAAAATAAAACTACGTTTAAACATTCCACTCTATATAAAGAGGCGAGAGACTTTTAGGTCCATCCCGTCAGTCTGTTCATTCGTCACTCCAGTTAACGAGTATGGGATACGATTAAGAGATTAACGTCTTAATATTCGAGGAAGACATTTATAACTTGGGATTTATGCGGTATAATAGGCTACGTTACTTCGCGACGGTCGGCCGATTCTTTGATTTATAGTGACAAAATTCTTCTCCTCCGGAGACATTTTAAAAGGAAAAATCTGTTAGAATGAAACAGGTAGAAGGAAAAATATTCCACGTGACATAGTAAACCGCATTTGCATCCAAATGGCATCGACGCCAATATTAAAGTAGGTCGAGAAACTAATTCCATTTTACACTTGCATCCGATGTGTGGACGAACGGAAGAATTTTATATAGGCCTACTTTTGTCGTTAGCTATTGATTTCTGTCTAAATTTTAAAAAAATATTCGTGATTAATGGAAGAGAATTATTTTAAGTGAGCAATAACATGGAGATGCTATCCGATTCGTAACACTTAAATGTTGCCGATCGGACGGTCGGTCATTTAGTATTAATGGGAAAATAAAATTTAAATGAGAAAAAATATCTAAATGCGATTAAAATTCGGAAGAGTAAATATATTTAAAACTCTTACGTTCATGTCACTTTCAGAAGGTAATTTAATAGAATCTCGAAGAGTTGCGATCTAATCCTACAAAAAAACTATATTATAAAAGTACGCCGTTCGAAAGCGGATGATGAGGATGAAATTATAAAAATTTTATCATCATAATACGTCGCTTGAACGTGCAATTCGGGTGTATAACCCGTAGTTTATATGCATAATATTAAAAGAAAATCTTAGAATTGATAAAGCAATCCGAAAATTAAGAAAAGGTTGCGAACTTAAATTAATTTTTAGTTTCGAATCATTATTTTCGAGTATTATTCGAAAATTTTTAAATACGGCCAAATAAAGAAAGTATGCTACTCAGACGTGTATTTTTGTATCTTCTTTCGGTCACGTTCGGAAATTTGCCTACACGAAAATATGTGACGCGGTCGACCTCGTCCTATTTTCTTTTTTAAATCTAATTTGTAATAATGAATATAAATATAAAAGTTAATGAACTGACGCATTTGTAAAATATGAATAAAATAATGAAGGTAAATAAATGAAAAAAAACATCGAAGTATTTCTCGAATCTGGAATCAAAATTCCAAAAAAATGGAGATATTTGGAGAGAAAATCTCTTATTTTTTCTCTCTCCTTTTTTAGATGATAATAATAATAATATTTACTTTTAGCAACAAACGTTAAAGCAATTAATAAGGAAATATTTCCATGACGGGAACAGAAATTATTTCAACTGCAGACCAATTAGAATTATTTTTTACTTTAATATAAAAACTTAAAATGTTCATTATGGTTCGTGAATTACGAAGACGATTACTACTTCGATTTCTAGCGCGAATTTCATAGACTAAGATTCTCAGATGATGATTAGGCGGTATAATTATAATTAACTTCTTAGAAATTGTCATAGAACTGTACGGTCTAACAGCTTCGTTATTACTATACGATGTGTCGGTTACACTGATTAAATAGCTAATTATGATCATACAGTTTACTTGATTATAAATTGCAAAATTATTATATTATAGGCTATATATATAATTTTAAACTCTCTCCGCCCTGTGGGCACTAAGAGCCCCTTTTTAGCAAGCCCATTATGGCAGTCCCACAATGGAGCGGCCACAAGCCCAGAAATATACGGACACTCTCTCCTCCCTGAAAAATTTCTGGGGTTTTCAACATGGATCCCCTGAGCGGGAGGCTGTCCCCTACCGTTCGGCCATTTGGTTTATACAATATATTATCATATATTGATAATACATATATAATGAAAAGTCTGGATTTCTTATATAGCCTAATTATATTTTAATTCGATTTTTTAGTTCAAAAAATGGAGGAAACATTTACGTATAAATTATTAATCGCGAATTTAAAAATGAATACTATTAATTATCGATATCAAATATAATTTCTTTGACTTTAAAACGAGATTTAAAATGTTTAAAAAGATTATAAATTCAATTTTAACAAGGATAAAATTAAATAATTTTTCTGAAGTTATAATATTTTTACAGTTTTTTGGCGTTAATTTTTCGAGGAACGTAACGACATTTAGGAGAAGAAACAAGTAGAAAAAGAACAAAAGAGCATTCATTAAGAAAGTGGAAAGAAAGAATGGAGCCAAATAACGAAAATTCGACTTGTCCTTCTTAAAGTCGGGTAACAGGATAAAGATAATCTTCTTTCCCTACACTAAAGAACAACAGCGAGCTTCGTTCCATATTTCGATACATAAATGAAGGCCACCGACAGAAACGTCTCTAAAATGCTTTTATGTCTTTCAGTTAGTTTACAGGAGATAAAACCTCACTCCTAGTTCGCCATCCGGTTACAAACGTCTCGTAAATTTTCTAGGAAACAAAGATTTAAAAATAAAAAAAAATCTCTCCGAGATTATCACTTTTTCTTAAAAGACGATACTGTGATATTAGATAGCGTATACGTTTTCTTTCTATGCTATTTTGAAATTCTATATAAAATTATCTCAATAAATTTTCACAATAATGTGAAAAGTCGTTTTGAAGGATTATTTTATATCCTTGCCGTTTAAACATCGTGTAAAGTCAGATAACAAAAACATAATAATTCTATCCACGACGATCCGGCTCGTTACCGTAATAGTGGATTGACGTCAGCGTGTTTAAAGCGGAGTAACTTTTTAAAAAAAGCTAAAAATAACACAGAACCTTACAACAACGCAAAAAATTATACACGCTTAAATATTTTTCGTAATGTACTTTTTCATTTTATAGCGGTTTTAATAATAGAACCTTCAAAATGACGGCTCAATTAAGTAAAATACATAATTGATTTCGTGCGGCGATGGCTCGTAATAAACTATTTTACTGTATAAACAATTTATAGAAGAATAAAACTTTTGCTAATTGAATGTATTATATATATAAGCCCGCTTGTATGTTGTACGTACAGTACATATTTATTTACGTCTATGCTATAATATCCGCTACAATGTACGAGTCGATCTGGTTTTTCTGCGAACATCTTTTATAATTTCAAATATAATGTTTTCCTTATGCATCGTGAATCATCGTAAAAGAATCGAGTGAATCTTAATGTTTCGGTTCAACAAACTAACTACCAGATCCTACAATGTTTTAACCACTAAACAAACCGGAAATGCAGTTTGTTTAATGCAATACATACGTAACTCTTGTTTTAAAAATCCTGTTTATCAGTTTTAATACTCGATATATTGTTCTATTCAGTCTGTAAGTCAGACGTATTGTAAAACATCGTAAAAAAGAACTTTTTTAAAACTCTTTCCAGTCTTTGATATTAAGAGGGTCTTTTTTAGAAAGCCCATTATGGGTTCGGCCAGGTCCACCACAATGGGGATGGACGTATCATCCCCGAAAAATTCCTGGGTCCTGTCCCTCAGCACCCGGCCTGTGGGCTAGCCGAACCCATAATGGGCTTACTAAAAAGACTCTTAGTGCCCACAGGGCGGAAAAGAGTTTTTAAAAAAGTATTACAATCGGTAAAGAGAGAAACACAGACGTTCGGAAGGCGAAAACAAAGCGAAATTAATCAAGATAAATCTCGGAACAGAAGCCGAGTGCAATTAAGAAAATAGTAAAATTTCCCAGAGGCAATTTGTCTACTTATTAAGAACCATTTATGCCGGCGTTCGATGCGGTCACGAATCGTTAAACAAAAATTTTCGAGCCGAGAACAATGATTAATTTCGAGTGGGGAGAAAAGAGAAGAGAGAATTAGTCCCGCGGCGTAACTTGTAGCGAGGAGTGTATCTTGTACTGTAAACTTGTAGCGAGAAATCTATCGCGAGATATCCCGAAATATACTCTCGCTCTTCGGACCAACCACTTATCTGATATCGGAAAATTTAACGCACCGACAGAAGGAACCAGCAGTCGGATAATGGCGGCAAATTGCGATTAGTCACCGGGACCATCTGCTCGCCATCCTGCTTTTTTTCATGAGGTTAGTGAACTCGAGCGTGCCTCTACTTCCCGATTCGGGGTTGGTCGGTATGATAAATCAAAACCAGAAGTGGTGTCGATACAGGTGTGACTTTTACCCACCTGTAGCGCGACGTGACGCGATCGACCTTGGCATTGTTCCAAGTCGTCGACGTTCGCAAATGCTTACTAAATAACATTCGAGAATCGTGTTCCGTCGACTTTCAAGCGTTAGAAACATCCCCCCCTTTTATCGAAGGGACTAGTTAGCCTTTGCACTGTATTGTTTATACTCCGCTACGAGAGGATTCCGAAGGATATCCGATTACGAAAGATAATGCGATACCCGTTTGTATTTTTTGGTAAAAGCCAACACGCTATACACTTCGAAAGATTTGTATTTATTTACAACATGCAAAATTTTGTACTCGATAAAAAAAAATAAAGAAAAAATAATTTGGAAATAACTAATTCAGAAGATAGTCGTTAGCGAAGTGGAGACGAGATACTCGAGGTCTGGTGTGTAGATAAATTCGATTTAATTACTTTTAAAAGTGCCCTAACACAATTAGTAACGTTTTATGTTTTAAATGTCACTCTTCATTGAACCGGGATCGGATAACGAAGAATAGTGAGCTTTAATTCGATTAAAATCGATCGAAATATTAAAAAGATTTCAAAGTTTTGTTTTGAATACATAAAAATTTTAAACCGCGGAAATCTGATAAAAATGTATAACGTTTCTAGATAAGAAAAGAGCCTTTCCCTTGGAATAATTTGTTATCTTCGTACGAGAGATTTTAAAAAAAATATTTCTTTTTTTTCCCTCCAGAAAAATTCTGTTGTCTGGAACGTCATTAGGAAAGATAGCGAAGATTTCGAAACAAAAGATTAATTTACACTCGAGACACTCCAATTACAATCTAATGAATTCCAAAGTTTACCATACAACTTCCAAATTTTAAAATAATTGTATACAAACTCCTTCGATTTAATAGTCGAAGGAAAGAATCTTTCGAAATTTCCAACATAAGAAAAAGTATTCTTGCTGAAGTCTTCTCCTTTTATCTGGATTACCTGTGCAGTGACGAGAAATGCAGTTACTACCTCATTTATTCGATATTAAAACAGGATATTTATATTTTCTGAACGGAATTATAAAAACAAATTTATATTCGCGAGTTTTAAATCAATAAACATCGCAGAATTTATTTCTTTAAATGGGAAAAAGAGATTTTATAAATTCGAAATGATAACTTTCGGGTAACCAAAATAATAAATATAAAACTCTGACTCAAAGATCATTCTGGAGAGAATTGAACAATAAACATTTAGCAGTAATAATAATAATTAAACATTAGTTAAGAGAATTCATATCTCCGAGGTCGTATAATTTTCCTAATAACTTTTTCTAGGCCGTCCAATCAAAAAGTTTTTTCATCTTAACTTTTTCAAGACCGAACAAAGCATTCCGTTCAAAATCTAATCCGTTTCTATAGAATAATTTATATAAGTATAATTAGTTTTTGTTCGGTCGGGAGCGAGTTTAACGCGTCACACATTCCATCGTTTAAACAACAATCGAACAATGAAATAAGTTTTGTAAACATTCGATCGGGTGTACCACCAATTCGTTTCTCGAGTTTTATAAAGAACTTCCGGAAAGTAGATTCGTCCTTGAAAGGTTCGGCGTTTGACGAGCGTTAAAAGTGGGCCTAAAAATACCCGATACATATTTTAAGGAGAAAATGGAAGGGGGAGATATTTTTCGGGAGTGACGCATCGGAGTAAGTCAAAGAAATTCTCGACCCTAGTGAATGATTGCGTCCCACTAAAAGTAAACCGGTCGGTTTTTGTGGTTAGGCAAATATCTAAAACTGCCGACGGAATTTGTTAATAACGATTTCTATTTTGGTAAAGCCGTCAGACAACGAGCGATTCGATCTTTCCTTATTCCATTTAAAGAATATTGAGCTGTCAAAAAAATAATTTAAAAACTTCTAAGGGTCCGACCGATTTAGTAAGATTTCTTTGTTGAACTGACAACTCGAGCCGAGCGGCGCGCTCCCACGCTTGACAAGGAATGTCTACCAAATGGAAGAGAGTCCCGATTCTTTCGTCGAGATTTCAATTAAATTTTTCTGCCCAACGTTAGCTTCTCGGGCACTTTGACACTTATTATTTTTCGTTTTTTAATATGAAAGCGATCTTGGCAAATTTTTCTTGAAGGAGTGAGTTTCGTCGTTTGTTTCCTTCTCTTTTTAAACCCCATCCGACTAATAAATAACTTTAAATTCTACAAAGAAAATGTAAGTATAACGTGAAGCTCGCTAGCGTTAAACACGAAGTTTCGCGGGTGGTACGTAACCTAAATTTGTATAACAACAGTCGAACTCACCGGCCATCAGCTGAACGACTCCTAGAACCCGAGCCGTGTATTTGGTGATGACGTCAGAAACACAACAAGCGGCCAAGGAAGTAAAGGTGACGAGAAGCGACACCGAAGCCCCTAAACCGACGGTGATCGTGCTAATCTGCCACGATAAGCTGGGTATATCGGCAAAAGTGGTGTATCTACCGCACTCGTGAACCATATCTAACTTTCCGGTTTCGGAGAAACGTGGGTAGTTGCATCTTCGAAACGACCCGAAAGTAACTTCGGTCCCGTCCGGTAACTGCCCCCGAATCCATAAAGGTAAATAAAATCCTGCGCAGTTGAGTATAGCTGAGGCCAACGATAGGGAGGACCAGACGACACCCGTGGCTGTTAGACTCGTGGCCATCGGTGGCATGGTCGGGGCCCGCACCCGCTCTCGTGCGCGCCGCACCACTCGATTGCCGGCCTCGTCACGTGACTCGTGCCAGTGGTCGATTATGTATCCCGGCCTCGTCCAATAGGAAGACGAGCGGGCCGAGTCGACGATTCGGTTAGCGTTGTCACGGCGACGGAAGCCAGTAAACTGTTGCTGTTTTCCCGACAGGCATTGCATTCTCATTATTCGATCCGGTCCTGAGGGTCTTTAGGGGGACCTATAAGTATCTTATTTTTTTCTTTATCCTTAGGGAAGGTTCGTCTGGAAAGTTTCCCATGATTGACTGAGTGGTCATTCGATAATAAATAGTCTATAACCTAAACAACTCTTCCAAAGAAAATACCTACTTTGTTCCAAAATCCGACGGACCGCTTTGAATTATCATCGCTAAACTTTTTTCGTAATAAAAAAACCTAGAGCCAAAATACTTGAAAAATATCAAATACTTTCGTGTAATACGCGAAAAGCTAGTTCCAAATTATTTTTATATTATAAAAATCTATTTATTTAAATATTTGGTATGTACTGACATATTGAAATTCGCGTTATAGCACAAATAAAATATAAACATACTTAACACCATTTAATTATCGATAATAGGAATCTTAAAAGTACGTAATGTATTCTAACGTAAGGCAATGAACTATTAATTTCTAGAAATTTAAAAGCGTTAGACTAAAATTATATTAATGAATTTAAATAACGTTGGCTAAAGCTATTCGTCTAAGAACGAATTATAGCTACATATAAACTTTCATTGTAATTACAAAGAGGAAAACTTGTTATAATTATGACTTTACAGACATACGGAGAGCAAGTCAATAGTCTGATCAAAAAGAAGAATCGAAGCACGATCCGGATACTTCTACGAAAAGAAAAAAAATACGAAGACGAACAATAGGACTGTTCCAAAGATAATTGATATAGAATTCTTTAGGCTATCTTCAGATCAATTTTTCAGTGGAAGTTTTTATTCGAAATCAAAATGGGGCTGTGAAAATTTGGATTTAACACTAATTTCTTTTATTTCTAAGATAGAAAATATGTTTATAAGCTCTAGGCTTAACATATAATTACCTTTAAGCATCTTCTATCAGATAAGAACGACCTAAAAAGAAATGAATAAAGAATTCATTTATTATCTTACTATCTATTTTGATTACATTCGCATTTGTGCGCAATAGAAAAGAAACTCTTTTCTTGATAAACAATTAGTTTCATATTAAAAGCATCGCCCTGATAATTACATACCATTATACAGTTAACGAAAAATAAAATGAGTTACAGAAACAGATACTGAGGTAATTTACGACTAATTTTATTATCGGTAGAGAAAATAAGTATCTAATTATATACAGGAGAAAACTTTTATAGATATAAAGATAGTATAGTCTATATCGTTCATCAAAATTGTCTATTAAAATATTTCTCAGATAAAAAAAAAATGGAAGTTATGAAATCGATTCATCATTTTCTTATGTCAATAAAAGTAAGAATTTCTCTCAAAGTTGTGTAAATTATATCCTAAATAAAATATACTTTTACAATAAAACAATTTAAACAGTAACTGTTATATTGACAGATTGAAAAAAAAGACTTAAACTCTCAAACTTTCAGCTTATTTTATTTTTCAAAATTTGTATCTGTTGTTACACGGTTATCTAATATCCTGAAATTCCAGTCACTAATCCGTATTCATTTATTCAGTGTATAATATTTATATTATCTGTTGAACAGAAAAAATACTTTGTAGGAATATTGACGTATGATAAAGGGGCTTCATCCGAAAACAAAAATGTCTGTTGAGGGTGAAAATTACTTTGTGATTTATTATATCTGTCAAATTTTTTTCCTAAAATTTAAAAAAGTTACAAAATAAATTTAGTCAATATATAAAATGTATACTATTTGAAGGATGCATGATTATATAGTAGACTAGTGAATTTGAAAATTGTGAAAACACAAAATGAATATAGACATTTCAATGTAAAAAAACAGTATTAAAAAAAATAATCACGAAGAGAATTTTTCAATTTGTGAAAAAAAATAAAATTTGAAATATTCATAATGGATTGAATTTATATCCAAAAGCAGATATCTTTCTGTTTTGCTTATTTTTCTTTTATTTAATCAAATTTAATAAGTTGACTTCTTACTTCTTAAACTAAAAAAAGCTGTTTTTGTATGTTTGAAAACAAACTTAAATAATGTAAACTTGAATTTTCAATTAAAATTTTATTTAATCATTAAATTTTAAACAAGAAAAAATGCTATTTTAAATAAAGAAATAATATAACATTCATTTCAACTTTACATATTTTTATACTTTTTTTTAACAGATTACAAATTGAAATAAATATAAATATTAACAAATAGGAATATTATAGAATTTACATCAATTAATACTGATTACTGTTATAAAATTTATTATCATGACATATGACTATTTTCTAGATTTAAAATATTCTAATTTATGATTCAAAAATATTAAATCCATCCTCCCAGTCGTATTTTTGCTGGCAGATAAACATTGCATAAAAAAGTATCTGATATTTCACATAGGCTTTGGATTTCTGCTTTTTTATTTAGCTTTAATATTGTTTTTATCTGAAATATTAGTAGAATATCTTTAAATATTATTTAAAAATCTCTTCAAATTAAATAAACAATTATCAAAAAATTTTCATCTAACGTAATAGATGTTCACTATAAACAATAACTGATTTAAATACATTTTAATTATAGTTTATAACACTCTATTTTAAATGTAAGAAATTTCTAAAAAAGGCAATTATTGTTATATTAAAAGAAATTCTTTACTTGTGCATTACGGTTTAGAATGCTTTGTATATTTAGTAATGCAATTATCTTAAAAATCATAGATTAAAAATATGAGAAGCCTTCATTATGATAGTAAATCAATACATTATAATGAAAAAAATAAATAAAATCAAATGTATATCAAAGTTGTACTTAATATGGAGTAAAGTAATAAAAGTAATTTATCATAAATACTAAAAAACTATAATAAAATAAATTATATAAAATAATTTTTAAAAAGGTAAATATAATTTTTTAATTTAAATAAAATTTAAATTAAAAAATTAAAACAATAATATAATAGTACATTTAGGCCTATAAGCTTTCATCTATCAATGTTTTCATTATCTGATTCAGAGTCCACATTTTCCAAACAACACGTTATTTCTTAACATCCCGTTATTCACTCGATGATTAAACAGTTTTTTCGTCAACGCTCAAGTTGGGAAATACACTGTTAAACGAGCAATTATTGTGACGATGTCACAATGCGGGCTGCAATTTTTAATCATATTTTAAATTTATTTAACTTAAAATATATGCTTTCCACCTCAAATTAGAGTGGCTTGTCCCAGTACATCATACTTTTCCTTTAACAATAGAATCGTGCCGGTCATCTATCTAACATCTCTCGGGGAATTTTTGAATTAAAATAACGTGACTTCCGGTTTAGATCGGAAGTTCTCACATAGTTAATCGGGGCCTCCTGCCCCTAAGGTTTCCATATCTGGTCTCTGATTCCATCTATCTAACTCCGTTCTTGAGATTAAGGAAAGACAGGCGGATGACAGTGGGATTTTATAGGCCTACAATTTTTTCAAATTGCAGCCCAATTAACTAAAGAACTCCTCTTGGAGATGGGGGTCAATTCCGAAATTCAGCGACGGACTGGGGCATGATTTTGAGTCTAACAATATCCAGTGGTGTTATAGCTTCATAGGGCCTGGGCAAATTTGAATTTTGGAGCCCACTACGGTGGGCGCCATAATTCTTCAGACATTTTTCTTCGGGGAATTTTTTTGGGGAAATCCTCCAGTTTTCAGAACATCTGGAAAGTTGTTCTGCGCTGCGCCACACTGGCAATTTAGGGTCCTGAAATATGGCGCCAAATTAAAATTTAGATATTCTTGCTACAGTAATGCGTTTATAAAAGATTGATTTGCCCTTTTTACCCGTAGTCAATAGGAAATTGTCCTTTTTACTCAGGGCCGGATTAACCCACTTTGGGGCCCTAGACATTTTCTTCTTACCGGGCCCCCTCCCACATAAGAACATATAATTACCTTTAAGCATCTTCTATCAGATAAGAACGACCTAAAAAGAAATGAATAAAGAATTCATTTATTATCTTACTATCTATTTTGATTACATTCGCATTTGTGCGCAATAGAAAAGAAACTCTTTTCTTGATAAACAATTAGTTTCATATTAAAAGCATCGCCCTGATAATTACATACCATTATACAGTTAACGAAAAATAAAATGAGTTACAGAAACAGATACTGAGGTAATTTACGACTAATTTTATTATCGGTAGAGAAAATAAGTATCTAATTATATACAGGAGAAAACTTTTATAGATATAAAGATAGTATAGTCTATATCGTTCATCAAAATTGTCTATTAAAATATTTCTCAGATAAAAAAAAAATGGAAGTTATGAAATCGATTCATCATTTTCTTATGTCAATAAAAGTAAGAATTTCTCTCAAAGTTGTGTAAATTATATCCTAAATAAAATATACTTTTACAATAAAACAATTTAAACAGTAACTNGTAAACAATACATACAAGTACAGTACAGTATTTTCTGAGGAAACACTCGTACTTATTTTTTTTAACCCCATTCCCGATAACCCGGCATTTTCACAAACTCGGCCACCCTTCGGTCCACATTAGGCCGAGTTTTCGAGGTTCTACTGTATTTTAAAAAATTATTATTAATAATATAAAAAACAAAAGGATGAAAGGAGCGTAAAATAAAAACTGAAAAATATTTATACAATAATTGAATAAATAAGTATTTACATTTGAATATAACTAACAAATAATACTTGGAAATTTCAATGAACAGCACTTTTACGTAGGCCTATACAATTTTTAACAGTACCGGCCCACTTTGGCACAGGTCCTTCTGATATTTGGCAGAACTGGCCTATAGTCAGTTGCCCGTCGAAATTTCAAATGGAATTAATTTTTAGCATAGAATCTTATCAAAATGTCAACATTTTTGGATTCTATGCTAAAAATACAACTTTATATAGCGTTTATATAGCGTTGTATATCGATAGTGGGTCTAAACTTTTCGATGGGCCAAATTGGTCATTGGTCCTAGGTGGCGGACCACAAATATTCTGTATATTCCAGGTAAGCTAAACAAAAAGTAGGCCTCCTTCTATCATTTATAAGTGGTATGTCAAATACATTCACGTGCTGGATTTGCCCTGAAGACTATAGTTTGGGCACCACTGCCAGCTATATTTAAGATCATTATTTCAGAAAATGTCGACGGTTAAGGCAAGTGATATGATAATTGTCACCCTAATAAATTATAAGTTCATTGTTTTTTTTCCATATTTATAAAGTGAATTTTGATTATTAAAAATGATTACAATCATTTAAAATGACATCCCCAGCTCAACTGTGAAATATTTTGGTTTGTTTACACACAAAAGCGTTACTTTCTGTCATGCTGTTAAAGATACCGAAACTAAAGATGACATTATTACAATTCTGCTTTATTTTCTTTATTTTTAAAACTTTAGTAGCCTATATAAATTCATTTTATGTTAATTAAAGTGATATCAAATAATAATACAAATTTTATGCGTATAACTTTGAGTGAAAGACAACAGTAAAATAAATCTTCGATGGTCTGATGGCCAAAGCAGTTAATGTGTCAGCTTACCAATCTGGGGACCAGAGATCGAATCCGGACAGGTCAAAAAACAACAGGAATATTTCGGGATGGACCGTCCGGATATGTCGGGCCCCCATCCTCACCATCTAGCCGTTCCATTATGGGCTTGCTGAAAAGAGGCCCTCTTAGTACCCACAAGGCGAAAAAAGTCAATTAAGACTTTAAAAACTGCAGAAGGAAGCACATTTTTCATTTAAACCAGTTGGTGCCAAGGACCAAATATATATATATCATATCGTTTCATTTATTTCATCAAACAATATTGATAAAATAATAATAATTGTTAAAATCAACTAAAAAAAAAAAAATAGATAAAAATAATTTTAATGTCTGAATTTTAAGCTTAGTTCATACAGAGCGAATCTTTGAGGGAAAGTGGAAAAAGTAGAACGAATTTTGAGTCTGCAATATCATTTCTGATGAATTTAACAGTATTATAAATTGAAATCGTATTTAATATGGCATTTGTATCTTCCAAACATGAAGTTAGACGATTTCCTCTCGTTATTCCATTTATTCATTTTACTTATTTTATAATCACACATAAAATGAAGTGAAATAGAAGTATCGTTTTAATATTTGATATGCTACTGTCTAAACCAGGGGTGGCAAACAGTTTTTGCCCCCGGCCTAATTGGAAAGAAAACTTTTTCCACGGGCCGAACCAGAGGCTGCCCTAGGAAGATTTTCAGGTGGTGCCAGATCTCATTGTGGTGTCACCTCGTAGAGACTGAATTGTAGATAGAGATTACAGATACATTTTTCACATTATCATGCTTTATCAGCATTCTACGCTGTACTTACGAGATTTGTAATAACTCTAAATGCACAGTGAGTTGTTGACCTTTTTTTTTTAGGCGTCAGAATTTTTCATCGAGCTATTCGGACTTGAGTAGCTAATATTGAAAGATTGATCGCGGGCCACATAAATTCATTAGACGGGCCGGATCCGGCCCGCGGGCCGTATGTTGGTCATGCCTGGTCTAAACTGTACATCAGTGTCGCGCTTTCAATTGCCTTTTGGTAGATGCATGGTGAGATGGATTGTGCTGAAGTTTTTACATCCATTCTAACAATTTTCTGCGGGATAGACTATTACAGTTTATCCGCATAAAATTACGAAGAAATAGTATAATTCTTGTCGAAACTTGCACACCTACATACACTAAATTGAAAAGAAAGATACGCATAAATTGAGAAATTACATCTTGTTTTCTATAGGCCTATAAGTTCCTGAGCTTTGCTGTTTTCTAACTCAATTTTAGGCAGAAATATTTCTTTGAGAATTAAATTTAGGTTTCATTTAATAATTTAGATGTTAGATTCTAATTAATTAAAAAAGTTACTCAGTAAAGTTAAATTTATTTTTCTAATAAAAACAACGATTAAGAACTAAAGTTCACAGTTAACTATCATCGCCATTAAGATAAAATATAGTTTACAAAACGATTTTTTTAATATAAGAATTCTGTAAATTATACTTCAACTAACTGACTGGAAAGTAAAAAAAAATTTTTTTTCACATCAATCTTTTTAGCAATTTGTTCACCAAATATGACAGAAATTAAAATGTAGTTTTTTTTTCTTTTTAATAGGCAATATTTTCTATCATTTTAAAACCTTTAAAAATATAAAAAATTAAAATTTATTGATCTATTTCTTTGAAACTATCATTCTTTATGTAATGTTATAAACAGATATTGAAAAGGAAATACAACTGATTCAAGAATATCCATCATTCTGTTTTGAAGATCAGAAAATACAGTTTACTGAATAGCTGAAGTGCTTAAGTATATCTACTTCTCATACCTGGTTTCAAGTCCAAATTAGACTTTCAGGAATTTTTTCATGGATGATCATTTTCATGGATGATCAAGCCTATACATGTTAGATCTACTCCTCTTGCTGCAGATTAATGTAACTTATGGTAAGCATGATGTAAGACTCAGTGTGGCAAGGTGGGAAAAAACATCAAAAAATTTGTAAAATTGATATAATCTATATTATAATTTATAATATTGATAATTTTTCTAACAATATTTTGGTTACTAGTATTGAGAGATTTCTAAATGATTCAAGAGACACATTTAAAATGAAAGTGAAAACTATAACATTATATATACATTCAATATATAATTTTTAAGCAATTGTTGAATTAAATGAAATGAAACGTAAAAAATTAATATTGTAGTATCTGGTGTAAGAAATGTATTATAGTATTATAACAGTTTGATTGTCAAGGGCACAAATGTAACATGTAATTACTGTATGATAAGTTCTCCATAACAATTCTGTGCTTAATTCCAAAGAACAAAGTGATATGTAATCTTCACTCTTGAAAATGTGAAGATGCCATGTACTTAAGTATATAGTTATTGCCTATATTTCATTTAGACATTAAACTGAGTATAATACTTTGTCTAGCAAATTATATATACTTTTTTTTGGTAGAAAATTTTCACACTCCTGACTGTTATTACTACATTACTATTTTTGTGATGACTGATAATAAAATTCAAAGATTTCTATATGCAAATTATTTCATTTTTAATAATATGTAAAAAGAAAGCACTTATAAGTAATGAACTTCAATATTATTTAGGTAATTTAGGTTTCTCTTGATAACAAAAGAAATGCAATCATGATGAATCCACACTGCAAGAAAATCATCTGTAATTGATAAAGCTATATTCAAAGGATTGAACTTTACCAATTATGAATGATTGATACTAAAAATTATTTCAGAGTATAAAGAACACATTTAATGATGCCATCAGAAGAATCAAGAGTTATATGCAGAAGGGTAGAAAAATATTTGAAAGAAAAGCAGGAGATCAAAGAGAAGAAAAAAGGAAAAAGAAACGAAGATCTAATCAGATAAAAGGAAGAGCTCATAAAAGAGGTTGTCAAGATAAAAACTATTTAGATATAATTATAATGAAAAATTAATATTTTTTGCTGCATTTACCTGATGCTCCCATATGGGATTTTGCTGAATATAAATTCTTTTAAGTAAAACATTAGCTTTGCTGATATCATGTTTTGTAAGAGGTAATAATGCTTTTTCAGGAATATGTAATCTAGAAAATACAAATATTTTTAAAATCAAATAATTAATACTTTAATGTTTACGTGAATTTTTGCATTCTAATGCAATTTATTGTTATAATGCACTTTTTAAAATATTGAATTGCATAATATTATTTGACAAAAATATTCTTGAAACTGTCTTAACAAAACATTTTTAAACAGGAAATAAACAAATAAATCTTATCTTAAAAATTAATTTTTTAAAACAGATAAAGTTATTTATAACAAATTAAATTATAATTCATTATTTTCATTTTCAATAAAAATTTTCATAGTTTACCTATCTATATCAGTAGGATGAATGCCAATCCATTTTAAACAAGGTACAGCCAAATTATCAGAATTGTGTGCTAATGACTATTATTAATAAAATTTAACATATTATTTTTATTCAAATTAAACAAAACAAAATATGAAACTTTTAATACTTTATTATTTCTAAGCAGTTTTTTAATACAAAATTTTAAGAATAAAGTTTTAAAATTATGTTAAGAAAACATCTCACTAATGAACCAAATTTATACACACACACAATTTCTACACCTATATAAAAAAACATAGATTAGCATATAGGCTGTAAAGAAAACAATAAACTTTAAATATTTTTAATAGTAAACATGTTTCACTAAATTTATTATTTCTAAATATTACATTCAGAATTTATCAAAAATTTGATCAAATATAAACAAATACAGTACCTTTTATTGGGTTGATGCAAAAGTTTATGAAATGTTCTATACATCTGTAGAATATTCAAAATTGCTCTCAGACATATGGCATCTACCTTTCTTGTGGGACGTGTAAATGAAGGGTATTGAGGTGCACAATTATAAATGAAAAGATATTCTGTGTGGCAATATCAAGTTTTTAAATATGTCAAGTTTACCAATGCTTTCTTGTAACCAAATTAGCACATGTGTGCTTTAAAATTCATGTTATATATGTAATACTGTACAGTTTTTCTGTGAGATGTGGACAACAAACTAAGATGAAAAACAGTTATAGTAATGACTAAGACAAAACCTTTCTCACTTAGAGTCTAGCCATTTACACACTGAGTACAAATGAATATCTACCAACAGATGTTCTAACAGACCACAGTTACCTGAAGAAGGCCTATTAAGAAGGCCAAAAACGTTTGTACTCAGTGTGTAAATGGCTAGAAACTAAGTGAGAAAGGTTTTGTCTTAATCATTTTAAATATTAATAGTTCTAGCTCCAAATGCATAGAAGTTATAGTAATTCAAAAACACAAGTCTACAAAGAATTTCTGATCCAGTCTAAAGTAATGAATTTGAATGAAGAAAAGATTTAAAAAACAGTGTATATATATATACACTGTAACAGTGTTTACNTCTTGGTCAAATTGTTTTTAAACTAAAATTCATTAGATTCAATACATTTATTTTGTTTTAAGAATTAATATCAAACTTTATCATGTATTATTTAAAATCTATTTCTGTTATACACTCAGTGTCCAAAAGTTAAGCAACTAAGCGAAAAAAGTAGATAAAAATTATTCATAAGGTGATCTCAAGCCACGTGTAAACAGTTTGCTGAGATACTGCTCTTCCTGTTGATGCTGCATAATCCAAAGCAAACTAATGTGCAGTGATTGACCTGTACCACTGTGCTTGCAGACACAGAAAATGATAATCCTGAGCAATTGTGACTCTTGGGCATCCACTTACTAGTCTTCGTGACACTGTTCCTTCATTTTAATATCGGTTCCAATGGCAGCAAATTATAGAACAATTGGCATTTAAGACTTGGGCTACTTCTGACTGTTGCTTCAAGATGCCCTATTGCCTTCCATAATCTGCTGGCATTCGTCATGTTGTCATCTTAGATCATGTTGTCTACTCATTTTTCAAAATTTGGCTATCTTGAGTTTGCTTCTCGAGTCTGTAAAGCAGAGATACAGGCTCTGCACAAAACAGACCATTTTTATACCTGACATGTTTCCTTGCTAAAAATGTCGATATGCAAAATTTTTTCTCCTGGCTAGTTTTCATATTCATGTATCTGTCATGCATGATCTTTTTTTCCATTCATATATATATATATCCAAAATTTTACACTCAAAAGTATGAAAGGTAGGCCAAGTGGGAGCCCTGTAAATTATATAATTCTTTGTAGTTTTACACTAGAAAAATTAGTCAAGTCTGCCATATAAGAGAAATGTGCACAAATAACAGACTTCCTCTCAAAAAAGAAAAAAATAAGCAATTTCTGTTACAGTGGAGTGCTTGGAGGTTTCAATAGCAGGGCATCAGGTTAATAACCTTCAAAGTTCAAGATGGGCAGATCAAAATGTTGCCTACTTGAGGAAAGCAAGATGGATTTCCTGCAATGTGATCAATCCTCTCCATTTGCCTAGTATGTATATATCCATAACTTATAAGGCAAGTGGATTTTTTTTTCTATTCATCCAAGCTTACCTTACAACAGTAATAAAAAATATTTTTTTGGATGAGGGCCATATGTAAACTTCATAAGTTTCAATTTCTGGCAAGCTGCATGCATTTTTTTTAAATGGAGTTTCAAGCTTTAAGCCTGCTGAGTACCGTACTCCAAAATAACTGCCAGTAGACTAAGCACTAAAATAATATATGCTAATGATATTCAAACTAGTAATGTTTTGTCTTATTGTGTATGGGTGATATAAAAAAAGGGACATGTTCACTACAAAGAACAAACACTTGAAACTGTAACATCAAACTTTATTCTCACATCACAACTGCAATACTTTTATCTTGAAAATATACTTTGTCAATGGAACAATTGCCTTAATGCAGTGGCAATTTCTTCTAAATTGAATGTACTATCTACCATGCCCTACTGCCTTAATGTAAACTTTTTGATTGTCCTGTATTTTTTTCTTTTATAATTTTAATCTATTTTCTTCAAATTGTAATAAATTATAAAATATTATAATATTCAATAAAATAATTTTTTTTAATAACTTTCAATAATTTACCATGAGGATCTGCATCTGCTAAAGCCAAAACAGGAATATGAAGTATATTCCATAGTTTATGTATCAATTTTCTAGTATTTATATCTGGAAAACCTTTTCCCTTTAAATATAAGAAAAATAATTTAGCGTTAGCATTAATCATATCAACAAAAAATGTGTAAATTATATATATTTTAGAACAAAATACCATTAGTAATGCAATTGGAATAAATTATTGTAACATAATAAACTATTATGTTAATTACCAAATATTAAATTTTAAATTAAACTAATATCATTTCATTAATAAACTTCTTTATTGGAGTATATGTAAGAGTTCTAGTCTGTTCCAGCAACAATTTATTTATCATATGTTTCAAACTATCTAAGTAGCCTTCATTAGGATCAAATATGTAATAGAATTCTTTTTAAATTTAAATATTAATGTTTTTAACAATGTTCTAAATGTGGATCAATGACCAATAACTAAAATAACATAAATAAAACAAAAAAAATACTAAAAAATATAACAAAAAACAAATATGTATTTTATCTTTTTTGTTATGGGTCTTGTTATTTATCCGGGGAGGACATTTGCTGTCCCGCGACATTTCCTAATGTAGATGAAATAAATAAATAAATACAGAAAATAATAATAAAAATACCATAAAATACAAAAATATACATCATAAAATACAAATGATGATAATCACAGATCTGTTAAATATATACAACAATAACTAGAATGTAATTTTGTCCCCATTGTTGTTTATAAGAAATTTCTATGCTGCTAAGCTAGTGGCATTCTTATAATTAATGCATGAATTCTTAATACTATTTTTGTATATAGTTATTTTTTCCAGAGTTTTCCAGCATGTTGGTTCTTGGAAGTTTCTATGAGTTGTGCATCCACAAAATGTGATACATTCTCGGGAACCAATGCCATAATAGCCAGCATTGTGGTCTTTTCCCTTTACGTACATTGTACAAATGCTCCTTGAGCCTGGTAGGAAGATTTTGGGAGGTGCACCCTATATATTTTGCTGACTGTTTTCTAGACCTAGAATAAAGGGCATTTCGTACACTCTAGGACTGTGGTAGAACCAATTGGGTCCTTGTCATTATGTAATAAGTTGTTATCTGTATTATAGATTAGTTGTTTGTTGCCCCATCTAAAAGGCTGCATCATTCTTCAGAAAGGTGCAGCCTTTCTGAAGAAGTTATCCTGCATCTTGTTGTATGTTACCATTGTGGTTATGGATGGCAATAGTTTATCTTTTTTTGGGTGTCTTATGTGGTTGTATCTATTAACTAAGGTGATGGTGTTTTGGTTGTATCCATGAGTGGCTGCTATATTTTTAATCCTGTTCAACAGATCCTGTTGTTGAAACAGGCTAGAACTCTTTACATCTAACATCATTTCTTTAATGTTTTTTCTTTTTTTCATAAGATACAGGCTTGTCTTATTTTTATGTGGTTATAAATAATACTTAAGATTATAATTTACAATATTTCTTGGTCAAATTGTTTTTAAACTAAAATTCATTAGATTCAATACATTTATTTTGTTTTAAGAATTAATATCAAACTTTATCATGTATTATTTAAAATCTATTTCTGTTATACACTCAGTGTCCAAAAGTTAAGCAACTAAGCGAAAAAAGTAGATAAAAATTATTCATAAGGTGATCTCAAGCCACGTGTAAACAGTTTGCTGAGATACTGCTCTTCCTGTTGATGCTGCATAATCCAAAGCAAACTAATGTGCAGTGATTGACCTGTACCACTGTGCTTGCAGACACAGAAAATGATAATCCTGAGCAATTGTGACTCTTGGGCATCCACTTACTAGTCTTCGTGACACTGTTCCTTCATTTTAATATCGGTTCCAATGGCAGCAAATTATAGAACAATTGGCATTTAAGACTTGGGCTACTTCTGACTGTTGCTTCAAGATGCCCTATTGCCTTCCATAATCTGCTGGCATTCGTCATGTTGTCATCTTAGATCATGTTGTCTACTCATTTTTCAAAATTTGGCTATCTTGAGTTTGCTTCTCGAGTCTGTAAAGCAGAGATACAGGCTCTGCACAAAACAGACCATTTTTATACCTGACATGTTTCCTTGCTAAAAATGTCGATATGCAAAATTTTTTCTCCTGGCTAGTTTTCATATTCATGTATCTGTCATGCATGCAAATTTTTCAGCTACATGTTTATTTAGCCAAATATGTAAATTTTTCACTTTGTTGCTTAACTTTTGGACATGAGTGTATTTATGTAACAAGAATATCTGACTCTTGGGGTCCACTGACTACCTCCTAAATTATTTGATGTTTTGAAGATTTTATTTAAAAATATTAAGTATTTATAAAATTACACATTATATTCTATAATTTTAAAGGATTATAGAATATAATTGATTTGATCTGAAGTTGAGAAATCACTTTCTTAAAATACAATGGGTGATCAGTTAATGAACATAATTCGTTCCAAGAACATGTTCACTACATAAATTGATCGTTAACCAATTATCAATTTACCAAAGATTTTTATGGGAATTTGATTAATTCGTTCTGGAGACCCAAGTAAATAACTAAAAAATTATATACTTTTTTACTATGTTTATTTATATGTAATAATAAAAATATATATATAAACACAGTCTTGCATTTTTATCAGTCATGTTTTTTTCCCCCCATTTGTGAGATGTTAAAGAATCTGTTCAATGTCAATTGCTTTTCTCTCTTTTTCAGGATTTTTCAGAAGTAATTAATAGCATTGTCCTTGTAGAGATCCCAAGACTATTAATCTCAACCTGGTTTAGATGCCATTCTAAGACTGTTGTTCTGACATCCTGTCACTTCTTCAAAATATCTTTAATAACAGATGTTGGCATTGATCCTCTTTCCTGTTCCTCTTTTTCAGAAGAAAACACATCTCGCTGAGTTTCTTTGTGTTCTTCATTTAATTAAGAGTTCTTGGAGTTCTTCTGTCGTCAGATCAGTTTCAGGTTCCATTATGAGCTCTTCAATGCCATCTTCATTCACCTCAAATTCCAGATTTCCAGCAGTTGTCACAATTTCATCCATAACTTCAGAGATATCATCTCTGTCTCTCTGAATGCAGAGGACACAGCTTTAACCAAGCAGAATTCAACTGTCGTTGGTGACTTCTGACCATGCCTTTTGAATGAGCTGTACAGTTTCAACACTATCAAATTTTTCTTTCCAAAACGTTTTTAATGTCATTGTTGAGGAAAACCGACATGCTTCAAAACACTGATGAAACAGGGTGCGAATGTACAAATTTCTTGAAACCTGAAAACCTCTCAATCCATTATTGGCTGAATCAACGAAATGGTATTTGAAGGCAGAAACTGAACTGTCAGCCAGGAAGTCTTCCAGCAAATTATCTTCAAGATCTTTGGATGTCCTGGTGCATTGTCCAATAGCAACAGTGCTTTCAATGGCAATTCATTGGTCTGAAGGTAATCCTTGATGCTTGGAGCACAAACTTCAAACAGCCATTCTTTGAAAAGAGCCTGCGTAACCCATGCCCTTTTATTCGATCTCCACATCACTGGCAGTCTTTCTTTAATTATGGAATTTTTTTGAATGCTCTAGGGTTCTCAGAATGATAGACAAGAAGCTGGATAAGCTTCATATCACCACTAGCATTATCTTCCAAAAGTAATGTCAATCAATCTTTCTTGGGTTTATGCCCAGGAATATTTTTTGGGTTTGACTTGACTGCATATATAAAAATTCAATTCTCAATAAGCAATTCTTGGGTTTATGCCCGGGCACTTCCAAAATACCAGTTTCATCACAATTGAAAATCTGCTGTGGACAATATCCTTCTTTTTTAATGAATCCTTCAAATTTCAGACAGACCTTCTCAGCTTCTTCTTTATCTTCACTAACAGACTCACCATGAATTACTACATGTTTAATGCCAGATCTCCTAAACTTTACAAACCATCCAGTGGTAGCCTTGAATTCTATCTCCTCATGTGACAAATGTGGAATTTGTTTCTTCAGTTCTTCAAAAATTTTCTCATGAATGATAGTCATATTAATATTATCTTTTTTCATTTCCCTTTCTTTTATCCAAATTAAAAGTAATCTCTCCATTTTTCCATGGATGGCACATCTTTGCTTCTCAGATGTGATTTTCATTACTCCTTTAGCTGCTTGAGTCTTCTGGTATGTCTTCTTTCTTAGCTAAGATTGTGCCTACTGTAGACCTGTTCAAACCATACTGCCTAGCAACATCAGACAACTGTCTACTCTCTACCTTGGCTATTATCTCTTGCTTAGTTTTTATGGTGAGCACAGTTCTTGACACTCTACTCTTTTTAGGCTCCATAATATTATCAATTTCTATTTGAAATACAGTAAAAAGTTCAGAAAAGCACTCACAAAAATTCAGAGAACAGAAATGAACTAGCACATGACATAATTATGTAAATGTGAGGCTTGAATGAAATTCAAAATTTTGGTGTTAAAACATTAACGAATATCCAATAGAACAGTTAAACTCTCACCTTTTGAAAATAAAAACTGACACAAAACTTAATGAGTGCTAGACATTCTTGCAAAGACTGTAAAAATTTATTAGTCAGAAAGGTAAACAAAAAGCTAGAATTATAAGGGAGAATTTCAAAGTTTGGAGAAATACTATCCAATCAGTATTGGATTGAGTGTGAACGTTGATGTCTCTTGCACTCCAAAGGTTTCGAATTGTCACCTAGAGACAATGGAAAACCATCAGTATTTGTTATTTTACATTGCTTCTTCTTGTGTTTGTTCTGTGAAATGTTCATTATCCAAACATGTGTTTATTACTTGAACATAAAATTCTTTTATAAAAGTGTTCATTGTCCAATTTGTTTTCAGTCCAACTATTTGTTAACCAATCACCCAATGTATGTTTAATCAAAGATTATAAAGAACATAACTCCTTAAACATTATAATGAGGTATTGATTATTTTATTTGTTTTGATATTTATTGATTATTTATTTGATTATTTTATTTTATGAGTATTAATGGATTTTACAATTAGAAAAAATATATACTTATAAACTATTTAGACATACTTTAAGTTCGTTGATGCTGCATAATCCAAAGCAAACTAATGTGCAGTGATTGACCTGTACCACTGTGCTTGCAGACACAGAAAATGATAATCCTGAGCAATTGTGACTCTTGGGCATCNTAATATAAACTTAGCATTTGAACTTATATCTTTAAATAAAGTTGAGAAAATATTTTATATTATTTAGTAATCTTTAAATATCTAATAAATTTATACAGCTACTCCCCATTTAACAACCTACTCATTTAATGACCACTTGGACTTACAACTAACTCCAGTGTGGGAATCCCCTTTCTTAATCTTGGTCTCATTCCCACAGTTCATCAGTATTCATTACACCAAGCATTTGCAATCTTCAAGACTACGTATTTCACTTATAAATTTGTATTTTATTGTGCATCCCATTTGAAAGATTCAGTGATAAATAATAATAAAATAAAATAATAATTTGGATTTCATTTTTTTTAATGAATGAGTTTTTTAGTACATCATTTTTATAATTTATGCCAATTGTATTTTTATGTTCTGTAATATGTAAAAGATGCAAACTAAAACAAAGTTATCAAGTTAGAGTTTCCTTTAGATTCTTTAGATTTATCCAAAATAAATAAAAATGATTAAGTTCCTCGTTTATTGACCAATTCACTTAACCTAATCATAGGAATGGAACTTAGTTACTAAGTGAGGAGTGGCTGTAAATGACAAATTTTATAGAATATCTATCTAATTTTATATTCAACTGAATAAAATAATGTACAAAATTCATTTTTCAAGCATTTGCAATAATATTTTAATCTTTAAAAGTTTTCAAAAATGGCATCTCTTCATATTTAGCATTGATACATAACAATAAATTCAGAAAAAACTAACACCATTTTATGAAGCATAGGAAACAAACTGCTTTTTTTTTCTATAAGCCAAAATACAATTATTAAAATAAAAACTTTTGGCCTATTTTAGGCCATCTTCAGCTATTACACAATGAGAATGAAATGTCAATTTGGAAATAAATAAAACTGAATACAATATTTAAATTACAAAATATAGGAAACAAACAAAATCAATTTAACTAGGACATTGCATGACCATCATATCACTATAGAATTGAGGCACAGCTGTAATTCTGTACATAAAAGCTCTTATAGATGAGACAAAATTAGCACTATATTCCACAAAGTACCTAAAAACTCACCATTTTTAAAAAACTTAGTATCAGAAGAATTTTGTTATTTTGGCATTTTATTTTTAATAATGGTTACTACAGAGATGTTGTTGTATAGTAAGAATAGTTACTGTATTAATATATTTACATTGACACAGCAGTGCAATGCCAAAATAAACTGTATGTAAGCCAAAAACTACAGTATGTGATAATGAAGTTTAATGTTTCCAAGTGTGTTATAAATTACACAGATCTTCTAAGACATGAAAAAATGAAGAGAATAAAATACCATTATCAACCTCCTCAATGAACTTGTTACTTCAAATGAGGGAGCTTGATGCAATGATCCCAAGGGTGTGCTCTTAATTAAGCAGACTTGACTGCATATATAAAAATTCATTTCTCAATAAGCAAATTTAACAATTAAATATTTTTTTATTATAAGCTTCATATCACCACTAGCATTATCTTCCAAAAGTAATGTCAATCAATCTTTCTTGGGTTTATGCCCAAGAATATTTTTTGGGTTTGACTTGACTGCATATATAAAAATTCAATTCTCAATAAGCAATTCTTGGGTTTATGCCCGGGCACTTCCAAAATACCAGTTTCATCACAATTGAAAATCTGCTGTGGACAATATCCTTCTTTTTTAATGAATCCTTCAAATTTCAGACAGACCTTCTCAGCTTCTTCTTTATCTTCACTAACAGACTCACCATGAATTACTACATGTTTAATGCCAGATCTCCTAAACTTTACAAACCATCCAGTGGTAGCCTTGAATTCTATCTCCTCATGTGACAAATGTGGAATTTGTTTCTTCAGTTCTTCAAAAATTTTCTCATGAATGATAGTCATATTAATATTATCTTTTTTCATTTCCCTTTCTTTTATCCAAATTAAAAGTAATCTCTCCATTTTTCCATGGATGGCACATCTTTGCTTCTCAGATGTGATTTTCATTACTCCTTTAGCTGCTTGAGTCTTCTGGTATGTCTTCTTTCTTAGCTAAGATTGTGCCTACTGTAGACCTGTTCAAACCATACTGCCTAGCAACATCAGACAACTGTCTACTCTCTACCTTGGCTATTATCTCTTGCTTAGTTTTTATGGTGAGCACAGTTCTTGACACTCTACTCTTTTTAGGCTCCATAATATTATCAATTTCTATTTGAAATACAGTAAAAAGTTCAGAAAAGCACTCACAAAAATTCAGAGAACAGAAATGAACTAGCACATGACATAATTATGTAAATGTGAGGCTTGAATGAAATTCAAAATTTTGGTGTTAAAACATTAACGAATATCCAATAGAACAGTTAAACTCTCACCTTTTGAAAATAAAAACTGACACAAAACTTAATGAGTGCTAGACATTCTTGCAAAGACTGTAAAAATTTATTAGTCAGAAAGGTAAACAAAAAGCTAGAATTATAAGGGAGAATTTCAAAGTTTGGAGAAATACTATCCAATCAGTATTGGATTGAGTGTGAACGTTGATGTCTCTTGCACTCCAAAGGTTTCGAATTGTCACCTAGAGACAATGGAAAACCATCAGTATTTGTTATTTTACATTGCTTCTTCTTGTGTTTGTTCTGTGAAATGTTCATTATCCAAACATGTGTTTATTACTTGAACATAAAATTCTTTTATAAAAGTGTTCATTGTCCAATTTGTTTTCAGTCCAACTATTTGTTAACCAATCACCCAATGTATGTTTAATCAAAGATTATAAAGAACATAACTCCTTAAACATTATAATGAGGTATTGATTATTTTATTTGTTTTGATATTTATTGATTATTTATTTGATTATTTTATTTTATGAGTATTAATGGATTTTACGATTAGAAAAAATATATACTTATAAACTATTTAGACATACTTTAATATCACCAAATTTGATATTTTGAAAAAATATGTACTATTTCTTATTATTTCTAAAGAATGAAATTTTTAAATAAACAAAATTATCATCAGTGTCACAGTTTTAATTAAATTATATAACTTTAAAAAATTTTTTACTGTAATTATAATGCAAGGCCCCAAATGAACTGTAAATTTTTCATCTAGTAGCTTTTGAAATGTTGCATCTTTNGAATTTTTTTTATAGCGATAAGAATAATATTAACTATATATACTCCAGTGAAATCCTGTGAAATATTATTAAATAATTTTGCTTTTATTTTTATTAAGCAGCTGCAGTGTCCGTATGCGATTTAATAGAAATAATAGTAACAAAATTTATTAATTGAAAGAGCCGACAGGGGACTTTGAAGAAGAAAATGTCTAGGGCCTCAAAGTGGGTTAATCCGGCTCTGATTGGCACTCACTTGACTAACCACTTCTGTTATTAGCATTTATCATTTATTATAGATTAAAGTATTATTCATCAAATTAATGGAAAATGTATAACATTTTTATTTAAAATATTTTATAAATTTATAATATCAGTGAATATAAAAGGATACTTGTTATATTCTCAATATCTGCAGGAATAAGTATTCCCTACAAAATAAAAATAAAGGTATAAATATTTTTAAACATCAGTTATAAAAATAACTACAACAAAGGTAATTTTAAAATTTAATAGAAAAAAATTAGCACAAATAAATTATACAAACATTCTTCATAAAAGTCAACCAAGATGTGTTTCATCAGAACAAATATTTTACACACAATTTACTTGTGTCTAAGTAAAACTTTCTCTCTTTTTTATTTTATATGTAATACATGCAATTTGTTAGCTTATAGAATTTTTAACAAATACTTATCACAATTTTTAATATTACAGTTTTCATTTTATTAAGTTAATTTTTTAAAATTTTAATTTGAACTAACTGTAGAATTACAGCAATCAATATAATTCTTTTCTCCATCTTGAAATCTTAAATTACCAGTTACATGTCCTTTAGAAGTAGCCATCTGGAATTTTATATTAAAATAAAATGATTTAAACATTTTATTATAAAATAAATATTTAAGTATTTTATATAAATTTTAATTCATTAAAATTCTTCATAAAAAATGTTTTAAAGTGGTGTTTTATGTTTCTTTAAAACAAGGGTATCAAACTCAAATACAACAAAGAACCAGTAAAATAGATGTATATCAGACATGGACCGTATTCATTATTATTTGGTAAACCAAACATACTGTAATTTAAAAAAGGCTCTAACAAAGGTCTTTACAACTTACATAAACAGTTAGACATTTCAATTTTTTCTGTTTTAATTCCTGCAAGTTGTTAGAAACATTGATTTTTAGAAAAGAAATCATCAAGGCCACAGGCCAGATATGAAGCCTTAACAGGTCGTATCTGGCCTGTTAAAGCTGAGCTGCCAGTTTGCAACCTCTGCTTAAAACTATTACAGGTAACCCCCGTATAACACGGAACTTCTATAGCACGGATTCGCTCTAACACGGTTTGAGAATTGGTACCATCCCCTGTATAACATGGTACTTTTATAGCACGGATTCACTCTGACACGGTTCGAGAATTGGGTAAAACCCTCGTACAACAGGAAATGTAATAAATTTTTACATACTTAACTAATAATAGTTCACGAAAATTATTATTTTCGTGAACTATTAGTACTTAAGTATGTAAATTTTCTCTTCTCGCCTTCTGTCGATACAGTGGTCCTTCTCGAAACTTGTTTCAATGTTGCCAGATCGCGACGCTTCTGCTTCTGATGTTGCCGAATGTTTTTCCCTTATTCCATACTTGCTTTATTCTTCATAAGTGCTTAGCACCATATAAGGAAATTTATAAAGACCTTTTAACTAGAAGCAAGCAATCTAAAATTACATACATTTTGCAAAAGGTAAAGCATGGATCTGAAGATAATGCAGAAAAATGCTCAGAGGATAAGGATAACTTGCCAAAAAGAAAACGCTCTCGGTTAATTAATAGTGTTTTTAGTGATGACGAAGAAAATATTGTTTAATTTATATTAATATGTATCACTTAAAAAAATTTTAATGAAGATATTTATCTGCTATAAGTAATAGATATGTATATATGAGGAAATATTTTGAGGAAATATTTTTGAAAAATTGATTTTTTAAAATTAAAAAAGAAGATATTTATCTTAATTATGAAAATATACTAGCATGTTTTTTAATTTTTGGAACCTAACCATCCTTTTCGTATTAGTTCTTTGTTTCGTATAACACGGATTCGCATAACACAGCAATTTTTTGGAACGTAACTACCGTGTTATACGGGGGTTACCAGTATTTCATTTCTCTTTTCATTTTCTCATTTTTTAATAAAATAATATTTAGGACCACCAGTGTGGATTAATTTACGAAAGCCTATTATTTGACAGATTTATGTATTAAAGTTTTGAAAATAAATATAAATTAAACAGTCACAAACAAAACCTTTTTTAACTAGTAATTAAACTTAAACTAAACTTCTGAATGTTTTCGGCCTTCACCAAGGCCTGCTTCAGGTAATGAACTAAACTAGCTTCCAAATTGGACCATTAGAATGATGATGTTTAACTTTAAAGTTTGTATATATCAAATTTCATGCATCTGATTGACTCCATTTGAATATCTCAAACAAGTATTTCCACGCATGCACAACAGTCTCACTGTCTTTAAAGAGTAACACAGTTGCCTTTTAAGTTGGCTTTATAAAGTTTCAAGGCCTCCATGTGATGAATATGATCTATTTGAAAGGCCTGTCTAATTAATCTGGTGTTCTGGATGAACCTTCCGCATGAACTTCCGGGTCAGTGGCGTACATAGACAAGGTAAGATGTAGACAAGTAGACTTTAAAGTCGAGCGTAATCATTCTGATGGTCCAATTTGGAAGCCAGTTTAGTTCATTACCTTGATGAAGGCCAAAAACATTTGGAAGTTTAGTTTAAGTTCAATTACTGGTTAAAAAAGGTTTTGTTTGTAACTGTTTATTTATCACTCCAGTATTTCTGAGAAGAAGACTGTTAGAAAACTTACACAACAGTTTATGTAAGAATAGTCTATTATCTGATACTTAATAAGGATCTGTTTGGAAATTCTTAACAGTTTCATTGTTGAGACTGGGCATCATTCAAAAATGTTACCTATAAAGTTTATGGTAATTTACTGGTTGCTACCAGTAAGTCTGTGATTATAAATATTCATGTCAAGAATATAGTAAGAAGAGAAGAATTGACACAGAAGAGCAGAGACAAATTGAAAAAAGTATGGGTTTTAATAATCCATAAACATTTGTATGATCTGGTGTTTTTAGGAATTAGTAGTTCAGACTCAGTTAAAGATGATATAATATTTTTTGTTTTTTATTGTTAAGTTGCAACACGATTTTAGATTATATTTTATCATATATTTATTTTAATTTACGTTTTTCATGTTATTGTTAAGTTGAAACACGTTTTTAATATTATTGTTAACTATTTATTTATACACATAAGTTGTTAAAAGTTCAAATTCAAATGAATTTCAAACTATTGGTTCCATTGGAACGAACAACGTTAAAGCCTGAAGATGGCCTATACAAATAGGCTGAAAACGTTAGAATAAAGAAAATTAACTCGGCAAATACAAATTAGGTGTGTTTATTTATTAATATAATAGCTAATATTTCTGAGAAGATAGATAGATAGTCTAGCATATTGTATGGAAAATCTGAAAGACAATAAACATGAAAGTAAACTGAAGGAAATTTTAAAAACAGAAAAAAATGTGATGTCATGTTGGCAATTTGATGTCATTAAGTCAATAATGACATCAAATTGCCAAAATGACATCACATTTTTTTCTGTTTTTAAAATTTCCTTAACCCATCAAGCACACCAAAATAACTTTGAGAATAAAAATGGCTACCTTAGAATGAGCTCTTGTTTTATTTCTTGTTTAGGATTCAACAAGTTAAACATCTACTACTTGCAAATCTATTACTTATGTTATTACTATCAACATAATATTACAAGTAATAAATAAAAATGAGTCAGAAGAGGAAATTTACATCAAAGATTAACAAAATCAAAAGAGTTTTATATTCCCTAAACAGATTTTCAAGTCAGTTTGACAGATAACATGAAAATACTGCATGGATATGGAATGTGATAATAAAGTTTATCTTACTGTGTAACTGGGAGACAACAAAGATGATGAAAGGAAACTAAAGGTGTTTGAAAATAATATGAATAGAAAATACAAAAACTATATAATCCAGTATTTGATGCATAAAATGGAAGATGATAATAAGACAGCTGTAAATTAAGAAGCCTTATCAAAAAGCTATTCATTATAAGCAAAGTCAAGGCAAAAAACTACAGTGGTATAGACATATAATGAGAAGAAATGAATATTTACTCAGAGAAATGCTGGAATGGGATATAATGGTTGCCATATCATGAGGAAATTCACAGAAGAGCTGAATTGACGTATAAAGTAGTGATGTAACGAATATTCGGTTACTATTCGGTATTCGGCCTATTTTTCACTATTCGGCCGAATACCGAATACCTAAAAACAGGAGTTATAAACAACAAAAACACAGTAAATTAATCATTTTGGTATTTAGAGTTAATGTTATAGAGTTAGTGTTGTTTGTTTATATTTATTTATAACTTGTAACATGCACAAAATAAAAAAGAAAATAATATTAGTCACATGTATTCACAATTTATAATTACAAAGATCAGCACATGTACTGTACACGTCTATCGTTGGAGAATCCTCGCACATCTGAGGGTCTGATCCTGCCTATCCTTCTTTTTAAGTGCTCGTCTTTGCTCTTTCTTTTCTCTTTTCTCTATCACTCTAATCCATGTATGCCTGTGCATACATCACAATACGCGCTCACGATACTTTCGATTTGTCACTTTTCCGTCATAGATTTCCCATTTTACAATTACGTGACTCAGCCTGGTGATAACGGAGAAAAGAGACAGATAGGACGTTGATATAAGTCACAGTTATGATTTCACAGATTCGAGACAGCTTGATAGACCGAATGGCTCCAGGCTTTCGCCCGTGCACGCTAAGTGACTTTCATTACAAGCATTTAGCTTTCCGAAATCTATGACAACAATTGTTTGGCATTGACGGCCACGAATTTCACGCCAATAAGCTGCTTCGACTCGTTCGATTATGTTATCAACTCAATTTCATATTTATTTTCACATTTTCACTTCGCGGTCTTTCTCTGTTCTTTCTCCATTATTTATATGTGTAGATCATTTCATTGTTATTCACATTTGATATCATCATTTATTGCATACTGCCATGACGCTCACGTCTGTCCGCTTCAACTGTCAAGAATTAACGCGATTGGCGAAGCGTAGTGACAGCGGGCCAATAGAGAGCGGGGTCCTTGCCATAATGCAGTTTGCGCACCAATTTTCGTACGTGCAATAATCGAGCCGAATAGTTTGGCCGAATATTCGGCTATTCGGTATTCGGCTTGAGGCCGAATATACTATTCGTTACAACACTAGTATAAAGCAATATTTGAAGTAATGAAGACTAGAGGACAATGAAAAGATGAAATTGGAAGACAGAAAAAAATGGGGACTAATAGTGACAGTGTTAAAGGATAATTGCATATCAAATAGTTCCTAAAATAAACTTGTTTTGTCAAAAAACATTTTTCATTTATTAATTTGTTTGCTATTAAAGGATATTACAAACATGCCAATCTTTCCTGTATTGTGATCACTTCACACTAATTAACAAATAACCTGCTAATTATACTTCTACGAAAGCTAATATTCTGATGAAGTCAGTTTTACAGCTTTTAATTCAAGGAATATGAGAGAAGGGTATGATAATAGAAAAAATAATATGTTCTAAAAATTTTTAGTATGTTCTTAAAAGAATATTTTAATAATTACTATCTTTATCAGATAGAAGCCATATAAATGAGATACCATAATGAACTTAGACATATCAAGAAAACTTT